ATAGCGCATTGAGTTGTACAGTCGGGATTTTTAAACCAGGATTTTTCACTGCATACACTATAACATTTTCTAATTTGTTGTGGTAACAGTTGTATTGGTGTATAACCTTGTGAACAAAATAAATCACCAGTAAGTGGATTAGGTATAGTTTCACCAAGACATAAATCATCTGGACCAGTACACTTTTGATAAACTCCTCCAAGGTATAAAGTTGAGTTTATAATATGTTTACTGTGTAGATCACATTCCGGTGAAGCTACATTTGCTTCATTATCATAAAAAACTGATAAAGGATTCATGCAGCCTGAAAAAATCAATTAAATTTAAACATTAGGGATTACAGTTCAACTACATAAACGGAACTACTTCTTAGCTAACTCAATTACTGTTTTATGGATCTCATCGATAAAACTTGTCTTAAATCCAACACAGGTGAACTTCATTGGTTAAGGCTTCTTACTAGAACCTCAAGAGTTTTCTACTATTAAGCATTCGATTATGAATAGCCTGAGATCTGAAGTACGAATAATTGGATACCAACTAAGTGGATCAAAGATAGTGAAGCTTGATTTGATATCTGATAGGGGCATATGCATGCACTCTTGAGAAATCATATAAATGGCTAAACCAAATATTAGGCATATCCGCTTTACTGAAATAGTAGTTACACATTTGTTTGTTAATGATACGAAAAATGAATTCATAGTCAGACAGTGGTGTCGGTGAATTACATGGTTAAATACAATGTAAATTGGTATCGAGTCATCTAGTTCACTGATCTAGAATATTTGAATGGTTTGAGAGACTAAAAACATACATGACTATTATTGAGTGTTTTAGTGAAGTGTTATATAACTGGGGTTATCCTAGACGTTATTTTCCACTTTATATCCAAACTAAACTCTGAATAAGATGCTCAAAGCTGAAATGTAATTTGAAATGCCTTTTGCTAACTAGGTTTCCCGTTGAACTGTAGTCACGACTAGGTTTTTTATTACTTACCACTTAACCACTGATGACAAATCAAAGTAACCAGTAGTAATAGCGTTTATTTAGGAGGTGAATATATTTACAATTGATTGATCACTGGGTAATGACTAATGTCATATATGTAAAGTTATTATTAGTGCTGATCGTACTCTGTCAGTCAAGCTGCAATGTGGCCACTAGTCTTTGTGACTGTCGAGATGCAAGATGGTGGTTGGAGGTGGTCGACAGGAAACCTTGGACCTTGGTTTCATCCTACTCAACACTCGTTGGCAAGGTGAACCTGTAACCTTGAGAAAAATGATGAAGAACTTGATGTATATAACATTGGTCACTACCCGGTGATCAATAAATTGTAAATACATCTCGGTCCTACAGAAGGTCAACTACGGCGTGAATCACTCAATGGTAACGTCTCTGACTGTGAAGTTAAGTGACAGGAAATTGAATCCATCAGGGAGTAACCAGTCCCCTCAAAATGACGAGTAGCAAGAAACGCAGATTCAAGGTTTCCTGTCGACCACCTCCAACTACTTGACGATGAACGAGTTGTTTTTTTGGAAGTTACGCTGATGAATACTAACAAGTACAAAACCTTAATCTAGGTTTTTCAGCTGAAACTCATCACCGTTCACTATAGTATATTACGAAGTCAGGTCACTTGTATTGATAGCCTAGTTGAGGAATCGGTTGGTAGCATTAGCCGGTCACCGAATGATAAATTTATTGGTGTCTGCTTGCTTATGACTACACTTTCAGAAACGCATATTTATATTGCAGTTTTATACAGTTATATATATAGTCATTATTATCATAAAGGATCAATGTAAACTTTTGTGAAATAAGTTAATCCTCTTTTCGTCAGCTACAAAACATTTTTTATTTTCGACCTCTTCCTATAATCATATACGGTTACTAAATTATGTTAGAATAATTATCAATGAGTCAACAAGCTATAATAAATGCAATAAATATTATCAAAACAAAAGAGATTAAGCTAAGAATGATACCATGAGTGGATCAATATTAGACCACCATCGAAAACCTGGGATCACTTGACTACTGTTTCGTCCTAGTATGGGACTCTTCAGCTGTGTGCACCTGACATCCCGCACGCGGGATCCGAGCGTATGACCTCCAGTCCACCCAACGGTGTTAATATCAATGGGGGGTTAGAACCTCACATGGGGGATCGTGGATGCGCTCTGCTTGGGAGCCTCATACTAGGACGAAACAGTAGCCCAGATTTTCAATGGTGGTCTAACATTGGTCCACTCATAATATCGATCTAAACTCAATAATCTTCACAACTCTTTACTGAATAAGGATTGTGTAGACTATTTGTATGAGATTAGGGCAATAAATATTTTTTGTGGAAATCCATATACATAATAGGTGCAGATCTTTAGTATTGTCTACATGAACTAATAAAATTAAGGTAAATATGTCGATTATAAGTAATGAGGTGCAGGAGGTAGACTATGGTGCAAACTGAAAAGGTATCACGGAATTTACTCCTAGCTCAATTAGCAAATTAGTTAAGTACATTTAAACAATTAATATGATTCATATAATTTACCAACTACTGTATTAGCTTTATAATATCTTTCAACAGCTGATTTAATTGTTGCAGTCAGTCGAACTATCATATGACTAGGTAACTCAGGTAATGATCTATCTGTAATTAATTCATAAATTGGTTGTCCACTTCTGTCAATAGCCACTAGTTGATTGTCTAGACCAGATTCCCAAAGTGATAAATTCACATCGGACATGTAAATAATAGGACCACCATAGGTTAAAACTTGACTATACGTTATTTTACTTTCATAATTTTGAATCTGTTAGGAAAAAAAGATAATGTTAAAATTTAATAGAAATAAAATAAAACAAGGAAACAGTCAGATTAGAAAATCACTAAACTTCAGGACATTTTCATTGTTATTAGAAGAGTTTTGTGAAGATTATTGAATTTTTGAAGATCATTTACATGATCAATTAAGTTGAGACAATTATTGAGAATCAGAGAAAATTGAGAAACTGTTTTATTTTAATTTGTGATTCCTTAGAACTTTTCACTCATGAACTTTATAAGCCTTGAATCCAAGATATTCGTGCTTTACTGAGTTAGCATCCAGTCAACGTGTTAATAACTGGATCTTACCTCAATAGTTTAAAGTTCTATAGAATAGATAGATTGTGGCATCAGTAAAATTGAAGAATCGCATTTTGTTTTATTTGGATCTCGTCAGTTCAGTATAGCTGCATCTCAATGTTATTGTTCACTAATTACCTTTTGTTTCAAAAGCCCAACGATTTATTCTCTGACATGCTAAGTTCAGATAGCCACTAATTTATGTAACGTTTATGACTTTTTTTATCATAATAATTAAAGTAAGAATTAACCTGTCGTTGATATTAGGAACTGAATTTCAATCAGTATTTAGTTTAAACGTAATACACTAGCTATAAAGTGTAAAGCTCCTAAACTCAATCTGTAGCTAGGTCATAAGTAGAGACTATTGAAACGTTTCATAGTATAGCTAGACAACTATCCTAAAACTTCTTAATTTCAATGATTATCTAGTTACTATAATAATTCATGATCTACACTATCTTCAAGTATTCTATCTATTACAATGATATAAAACACAAATTTTTAATAACTATCACAAAAAATCAATTTTCTTTTTATTGATCAATACATTAGAAATAAAAAACAAAGGTATGTATACCAATTCATCTGATCAACAAACAAAGTAACATTGTACAGAGAAAAACTTGAACAGAAAAAGACCAAAAAAAAATCAATAAAGAAAACAACAGATCATAAATATTATTGACTTTTGAGTTTAAAATTTTCATTGAATTGTATAATATGTAATTATTTAATTTAGTGTAAATAAAAATCAATATAGAAATAATGTGTTCTTTTTCTAGAACCAGTTGTATCTAAGTGAAAAACTGTTTTTTTTTCTTTTTTTGTTATTTTCTTTTTTACTTAATTCATTAGTAGGAATAATTCAATAGAACTAATTAATAATTCTAAACTGAAATAAACTAATTATTTGTTCAGTATTAAGATCTAGTTTTATTTAAACTAGTATAACTTAATAAACGAAGTAATTCTGTATAGTGATTATTTAATGTTTAATTTTGAATAAATATTTAATAATGCAATACTTAGACAACTTTGTTCACTTTATATAATTCAGTTAAATTAGTAAACTTTCTTTTATATTTGTTAATTATAAAAAAGAAAAGAAACTATTTACTTTTCTTTATCTACTTATAAACAGTCTGTCAATAATATCAACAAGTTAATTGTAATTTTTGCTTTTATAAAAGAAGTCAGTTTATTTTTCATGTGTCCAGAATTGAGAAAATTGAAACAAAGTTTATAAAAAAATATCCAAATTGTTAGGTTGATAATCAGATAATTATCTAGTTATTTTAATAGTTGAATTCATGAGTCGATCTAAGCTAGACCACCATTGAAAAACGGCCAAGTATTTAATGATGGTCTAGCTTAGAACGACTCATGATTTCAACTTGTATGGATAGTCGAACGAATAAAATTATCGTTTTAATCATATACTACTTAAAGCCTTACAAGTAAACTTTGCATTTTTAATCAAATAACCATTCATCTTCACTTGGTATTTTTCTGCTTGTATCTTCCCATTGATGTTTAAGACTGCAACTGGTCAGTCTGTTATTGACATATGTACATACTGTGTGTATGCCTTGATATTTCCTTAGTTTACAAGCTTTTATGAACGAAGATGGATAATGACTAGCAGTGGAATCCAGGATGTGCGTTTCGTCCTATTCGGGACTCGTCAGCTGGATATGCCTGCATCTCAGAGTTGATGTTCACTCTGGACTCGAACCCAGTACCATTCGCTGGATGTAATGAGTCTCAGTAACTGAGTGGATAACGTGATGGTGTTTGAAGTGAATGGTACTGAGTTCGAGCCCCAGAGTGAACATCAACTCTGAGATGCAGGCACATCCAGCTGACGAGTCCCAAATAGGACGAAACGTGCATCCTGGATTCCACTGCTAGTCACCATCCATCTGTGCTTCAAATAACCATTCATCTTGCTTTCGATTTTCTATTGAAATTGTTTACCTTGGGGGGAACAATGAATATTCAACATTTTATCTTGAAATAAAATTAAGACCAAAGAACTCAAAGCTCATATGTTTAAGTCGGGACTTTGTGTAAACTTGTTAAAGAAAGACTGTTGACCTTATAAATCAACCTTTTAGAGAATCGTGAATGCTAAATTGTTTAGTTTTCAGCTTTATGTTTACATTTTTTCCCTTAGATTCCCAAACTCAATACTCGTCACTTCAAGAAAATATGTCGTTTAGAAAACTATTGAGCATTAATAGCTATCCCATGTTCATTGCTAGTAGTATATGGAAGTTTTTCTTTTGCGTGGAAACGCTAGAATCCACTGGGGTGAATTTAGTCAGAAACTATCACTCTAAGTGTCGAGTATTGTTTATTTACTCACTACATATACATATTATTGCCCACCTTCATATAAATTATTCCACCTGTCCCTATAACTTTTATGTGATATATATCTTGATCTGTATGTTCGATGACATCGTATTCATAATTGACAATTATTATACTTGTAATAAGACTCATAGCAGCTTATTTTAATTTATCACAAGTAATCTAAACAGTGAAAGTATTTAACCATTTTTATCCGTTATGAAGCAAATGTGGATACTCGCTACCGAGGAGTCCCATACTAGGACGAAACGACCATCCAGTTCTTCTAGGTTTTCAATGATGGTTTAACTTAGATTGACTAGTGATTTCAACTGTGAGAATCAAATATGCCTAGTAGTTTCAGGAGTGAGATAATAAGACTTCACTATTGTTTTTATCATTATTGTTATTAGTGCGTATCCACTGAGAGTATGAATAATCCTTGGTATAGATCGAATTTTATCAAAATCTAGATAAATGTTTGATCAAGATAAACTAAACTGTAGGTGATAAACGTTATTAGCTGAAATCGCTCTATAGAAATACTATTAGTATGTGTATAAATAATTTATACAAATATGACAGGAATTGATAATTTTGAAATAATCCAACAGTTTATTAACTTTATATTGGGGTGTATGCGACTTATTTCTACAGACATACAATACAAAATGCATAAAATTATATTTTCCAAAGACTCTCTTTTTGTACCTTATGATGGTCACACTCAGTTTATAAGTATAATTCTATGTGCTATCCATGTGTTTCTCATCTTCGAGTACTCGTTGGTTGTTAATTATACAGTTTTGATTCACATTCTTTCTAAACTCTAGTGAATGACCTTAGCATGTATGCAGAGATAGATGGTGGCCAACAGTGACATCCAGTTTGCGCGTTTCGTTCTATCTAGAACAAGTCAGCTTGATGCCTCTGCTTCCAATAGTTCATTTGTATTTCGAGACTCGAACCCAATTCAGTTTTCTTTAAATGCCATTGCATTATCCATTTAGCTAGATTCCAGGTAACTGTTATTTTGTACAATAAAAAATGAATTTGACCCTGGCATGTGTTGTCATTAAAAATAAATAACGTTCCGACAAACAATTATACTGAATATAACGAATAAATAATTGTATGTTCTAATTCCAACAATCTGAAATCTCTAAAAAAACAATAAAAACCCTACAATGAAGGATGAAAGATATTTAATCGTTAAAATCGAGAAAAATGAAATGAAACTTACTAAAGAATCGTTAATGTTTACAGATCCACCAAGTTTAACGTTAAAGAGATTAGCAAAACTTATTGTAGCTGATGCACCCAAATGCCATCGATCTTCTTTTTTAGTATTTAATGAATTTGTATCCAATGTGTCAATTTTTGCTAAAACACCTCCAGCATGAACTGAGTTTATACAATGTGTACCGAAATCGCTTAGAAAACATAATTACATAAAGAAATACATATATGTTTTAATTTGTTAAATACTTAAGAAGAAAAATTGATATTTATAAAAGAACATACAAAATAAATTTGAAATTAGTGTATTTTGTTGGACATTATGTGCGGAGATATGTACACATAAACAATGCCTCAAGCGTAGATTGTAGTTAATTATCATCAAGGGATTGATCCTAGACTATAAATATAAACTACTGAAATTTCAGCTTCGTAATCATATATGCATCATAGTTGATGGGAGACTTTTAGGCCTTAAGATCGATTAGTTGTGGGTTAATGAGTGCATTCTGTTAGGTAATTTTAAACTAGAATAAAACAAGTATCTTTTACTGTCCGATCAAAACTGCTTTCTAATTCAGATCAGTTCCTAATCAAATGATAATTTGGATGATTTTTTTTCCACTTTATTTATTGCAAAATGATTACTTGTCTTAAGCCCACTGTTAGATGAGAGGTACAAACTAAACATAATATTAGATTATATGAATAACTCACCTAACAGTCTAAGTATTACTTGGAAATCTGAATTAGTAATATATACATGAGCTTTGCGCAGATTATTCGGCTATAAAAGTCAATAATAGTAATTATTACTAATTAACTGTTAATTCACAATTACTTACCGAACAACTAGATCAGCTAGATAAAATGCATTTGTACCTTGACTTAATGATTTAAAATTCTCATTTGTTACAATTCCTAATGAATTTCTTAATGTATTACCAATTAAACCATTATTAAATAATTCAATAGTTTCCATTGTTACATTTCCATGTTCTAAATAAGCAGCAATATCTAATAGACGATTTTTAAAACGTGGATGTAATTTTGAATCAGGTATTAATTGAATAAAATAACGATTATGACGCATTTCACTTTGAACAATAAGTCCTAATTTTTGACTCTGTTAAATCAAAATAAATAACAGACATTAGAATGTGAATGATATAACCGTAAAACTTAAATATATGACTATTTAACTGAAATTAGAAATGTAAGCCAGTTCAGTGATTTTACAATAATACACTAACAGAGAAACTTGAATTCGACAACTAGTGAGGTTTTAAATGTACATTATTTAACAGTTTTATATTAAGACAAATTGTGAGCCAATATTTTGAATTAAATTGAAACTTCAATAGTTGAGATCATGAGTCAATTGAAACTAGACCACCATGAAAAACCTGGAAGCACTGGACAGCCGTTTCTTCCTGTTGTGGGACCCCTCAGCAGTGCGATCCACAATCCCACCTCTCAAGATTCGAACCTAGGACCTATCGGTCTCTCCAGGCGGGATCGTGGATCGCACTGCCGAGGAGTCCCATAATAGGATGAAACGACTGTCCAGTGCTTCCAGGTTTTCCATGGTGGTCTAGTTTCAATTGACTCGTGATCTCAACTATTAAAATTACTATAATATCCAAAACAACCTCTCCTGATACTAAATTAAAACTATTGAATAGGGAAAATCATCTGTTTATGATTGTATTAAATCGATCAATCTAGTATCTTCTGATGATCATTTTGAAAATAATTAATGAAATAACAATCAATTAATTTCGTGTTGTTGTCTTTTCCAGTTAATATAATGATATAAAGTACATATTTATCTATTGCTCTAAAGTCATTACTTTGATTGATGTGTGCCATCATTAACAACGACTTAACCGTACAAATGTACAAATGAAGTGTGTGTATACTATTAGTAAACATTGTCGCACAGTAAAAAAAGAAATGTTCAGTGTTTGTTAGTTCAGCAATTCAAATTAAATTACCGTTTTGTCCATATTAATTATTAGTTAGTATTTGTTTAAAACTTAGTGTATATATATTAAGCACAATCGTACGTTCATTATTATATTACAATGGTTTACATCGCATGTTTATGATAATGCAAAATTTCCAATCCATATCTACACAACAATTAAGATGAGGAAACTACTTACATTACAGACAGAAAGATATTACCTCAATTTTTAATCTGATGACATAAGTTTCAGTCATACAACTCTAGCCAAAAGTTTTCGAAAATAATTTCATGTGAGTATGGAATTTCACAATAGTTCTGGTTGTGATTACGTAGTCGAACTTCTAAGTGATATGAAGTTTAATCACATTACGTTCAATTACAAAAGCCAAATTACTGATAAAATACCCTTTCTTTTAAAGAAGATGAATAGATTTCAGTAAATAAATCAAATGACTCTTAAAAATACACAATATATTTGTCATTTGAAGAGCTACAGTCTTTATGTAAATGACAAACAAAGAAAATTGGATGGTAAGCATATTACAAGAAATGTTTTAATTGTGTAATTATTGAGATTTATGAATGATAAGAATTGTAAAGTGATGTTTTACTTTATTCCATTTGTCTTTTAATTGATTGTTTGAAAAATAGGATAATTTCATGATAGACCTAAAGCATGAAAATGTCATTCCATTAATGAAAGGTGAAGTAATAGTCAGCCTTTATAATTTCACAATATAATTTAATTTAAAATAAACAATATAACTGTACTTATAGTAATAGTCTATTAACATAATAACATACTAGTTTTTCACGTAATGTTTCTTTATCCGATGAAAAATCTCCATTAATACGAAAAAACGAATATTCACCGCCAACAGCTGAATTAATGGAATAAGCTACTAATGAATGACATTGACTAATTGATTCGTAGACTTCAGAGGATAATTTAATTTTCGAATTCTTTATTGGTTCTAAATATCAAATATATATATATATATATATATATTATATATATATATATATATATATATATATATATATATATATATATATATATATATATATATATATGAAGTAAATAATAAGTAAATTACGCTAGAAACGGCAATAATGTAAATGTATAGAAATGATCGCAATTGTTTAAAAGAATACATGAAGAATTGTTTTATCTAATTATTCTTTATTTGAATTTTTTCTCAAGTTTGGATTACATCATTTTTATTGGTCTTGAACATGTAATTTTAACTTGAATTGATTGATTTTAACTTAGGTTATTCTTTATAATCATTAAATTTCTGTTTTTAGTTACTTTATTAAAGAAGGCGGCCTGCTTGATCATCTGGGCT